ATTCCGATTCAATTTGACACGGTTGGTGTAATTACAGTCACGATCTCGTACTGACCTGTGCGTACAACAATTTGCAAAAAAAAAAAAAAAACAGAGGGGCCTCCTCTCTACAGAGGACCACCGCTGTACTGTGGGCCTCCTATTTTTACAGGGTCTCTCAACTACAGAAGGCCTCCTCTCTACAGAGGACTTCTCTCTACTGAGGGTCTATCCCTTTCAGAGGGCATCCTTTCTTCAGAGGGCCTCCTCTCTAGTCTTTACAGGGGGGCCTCTCTACAGAGGACCTCATCTCTGCAAAGGGCCTTCGGCCTCCGGCTTGCTAAAACCACAGTTGATTTCTTATGTGTGTGTAGTGTACCTTCCTGGTTTTGTTTTCCTAGTATTTTCTTTCTTATGACTCGAAAGTCATTTTATAAATTAAACTTACTCCCTCCATTGCAATGCACATTTTCAAGGCCCCCAGTTAGTCTTAAGGCCAAAATTGGGTTAGTCGCAAAGCAGAGAGGCGCTGTACCCAGACTCCAGAGCTGCTTTCTACTCGGACCAAACCAAACCAAACCTAACCAAACCTGGCCTAACTTCACATACAACCTACAACCAAAAACCTGCAACCTACATACAACCTAAAACCTACCACCTAAAACCTAAAGCCTACAACCTACAGCCTAATCTACAGCGTCTTTCCTTGGTTGCAAAAAGAAGTGTGACGCCTGCTTTCTACTCCCCAAAATAGTACCATTTAACCTTGCCAAGTTGAGCTTTCTTTGATTTGGCCATATTTTAAAATGTTGGGGGGGGGGCTGACTGGCAAGTTGGGGGGGGGCTGACCAGCCAGTTGGGGGGGGGGGGCTGAAGCCCCCCCCCCCCCAACTGTATAGGATCCTACGCCCCTGTGTGTAGCGACCATACAGCTCCAGAGCTCATCTATGAATTTCCTGCAATAGCCATGGCCATGGGGTGGAAAGTTCCTGTTATAGACCTATAGGTACTATACTTAATTAATTACACCGATAATGCTGTTGATATTTAAGAAATGTATATTTCATAGGAATGCTAGCAGTTTTAGAATGAACAACTGTCATTTACCAGCATTGTCCGGTCTCCGGTTCAGGAGACCTTTTGTTTTCTTCTCACGACACATGAAAATGCAATTGGCACGTGTCGTGGGGGGTCGTGCCGTCAGCTGATTACGCCCCACGGTACGGCACGTCGCACACAGGTCGGCGACCTCCCATGGGTCACCAACTCGTCACAACAGACGAGAGAATGAACGAGGGGTACTAGCATTTTCCCTTGAAGCACGCTAGGGCCCGTCCCATGGCTCAGTAGAAGCAGACATGACTCATTCAAAAAAGTGTTCACCCCCAACACCGGCGCACTCAGGCGCAGCTGAAATTTTGAGGGCATGTAGACAACTCCTTGACCCACAGTGTGGTGGTAGTATGAGACCGTACACTAGCGTAGAATTTTTTTTGTAGCTCTATTATAAGAACATTGACATTTTTCAAAAAAGTGTGCCAATCACCAATGTAAGGGCTGATGGAAATCAATAAATGTAACACCTGTCCTATATGCATTATAATTATCTATAAATGATAATTATATAAATTATGACTCATTACAAAGCCAAAAGTTTGCACTATCGTTTGGTATCCAAATTATATAGTTTTGTCAATCCAAAGCTCGAAGAAAAACTGGTGAACGCTATCTCCAGTCTTCCATTGCCTGACAAGTACCGCTTCGAAGATGTCAAGCGGAGAATCAAGTCGACAAGCTATAAGTACTTTCATAGTTTCAAGGCTTCTAAAGTTTTCTCAGCTGTGTTTTCCCGTAAAGACATTCAGACATTGAAACAATTCGCCTCAGATTCTTCCCTGGTTGTGACGAGACCAGATAACGGGAAAAGTGTGGTGATTCTGGACCGCAGTGATTATGTAAGTAAGCTTACTGACCGTTCGAAGATTAGATTAAGATTACTAAATTAGAAGATTAAGATTAGAAGATAAGATTACTGACCGTTCGTCTGACAAGTCCAAGTTTCAAGAAATCAAGAAACCTGTACACAAGGTGCTACTTAAAGTAGAAGGAAAGGTTAACAGGCTCTTGAACAAACTGAAACAATCTACTAACATATCAGAAAAAGAATATGACCATTTACATGTTTCAGGAAGTCACCCTGGATACTTTATGGCCTACCAAAGGTGCATAAGTTACTGGTCCCTCTCCGTCCAATATGTTCTGCTTGTAAGACCCCAACATATAAGCTAGCCACTACCTTGTTCCCATTCTTGCTCCATTCACTGAAAATGAGTTCACCGTCAAGAATAGCTCCCAGTTCGCAGACAAAGTGATCAAATTTAGCCGCTTACTGATAGCATGGTCATGGCCAGTTTCGATGATGTCGAAAGCCTTTTTACTAATATTCCTGTCCGGGAAACCATCGATATATGCATATCTTACGTCTTCAATGGGAAAGATGTTTTGTCCACAATGGCAAAAAAACTTGTTCAAAACACTACTGGAAACTGCCGTTCTCAACTCCTATTTCTTGTTCAATGAGGAACTCTACAAACAGACGGATGGAGTGGGAATGGGTCTTCCGCTTGGACCCACATTTGCTAATATCTTTCTCTGCTATCACGAAAAGAAATGGCTCGAAAACTGTCCTCTGGAATTTCGCCCCGCATGCTTTGGAAGGTACGTTGAGGACTGCTTCATTATCTTCAAAGATCACTCTCATATCGATAGCTTCTTAGCCTACCTAAACCTTCAACATCCAAAAATACGTTTAACCAAAGAAGTTGAAAACAATGGTCATCTGCCTTTCCTAGATGTAAACGTTTGTCGTTTAAACAACAAAGTGACAACATCAGTCTATCGGAAACCGAGCTTCACTGGATTAGGCCTTAGTTTTTTCAGCTTTATCCTTTCGGCTATCAAAATAGCAGTTGTTCAATCAGTGCAGTGACTCGAGCCTTTAGAATCTGCTCTAACTACCATCTGCTTTTTCAAGAATTGACTTTTGTAAAACGGTTTTTTTCACAACAATGGCTACCCAAGGCAACTCATTGAGTCTATCGTCAAAAAAGTTCTCGATAAAGCATTGTGCCCAAACGGTCCTGCTCCTTGTTCAGCAAGGAAGTTAGAGAAATATATTACCTTACCATATTTTGGTCCAACGTCGGCCAATTTGAAGAATAACATTGCTAGACTCCTCACTCACTTTTGTCCTTACCTGAACCCCAAGATCGTGCTAAAAAATAGATTTAGGATGGCGTCACTGTTTCACTTCAAGGACAGTATCTCGAAAGCTTCTCGCTCTGGCATTGTTTATCAGTTTCGTTGTTCCTCGTGCGAGGAATCGTACATAGGCCCTACTTATGTACGCCTTCATACCAGAGCCTGTGAGCACAAAGGAATATCTGACCGTACAGGTAACTTACTTACGTCACCTAAACATTCATCCATTCGTGACCACAGTCTCCAATGTGACACACCCTTCACCATGGACAACTTAACGATTTTAGACAGTGAGCAGCAACATCTTAGAATTTTGGAATCAATTTACATCTATCGATATCGACCAAAAATCAACGGGAGTAGCTCAGCTCACCCACTGTACGTCGTACAGTGATTCTAGTAACCTGCAACTGTGCTTTGTTTACGATTGAACGGTGTCTTCGAACCACGAGTGTTTTACCAAATATGTCTCGAACTTTTCAACAACTGTGATTTTATCGAAGTGTGTCATGCCAACTCATTTGAACCGCCTTGTCATGTAACATGTTTTTGTTCTTTACTTCACTGAAGATGATTGTTCTAACAATTGAAACCGGTCTGAAATGAATACATCTAAAGCTCGAAGATATTGACGTGAAGCAAGGCGACTGTTTCTGCGTTTGTTCGCCGAAGTTAAGCTTTTGAGAGTTGTCTGACTTTGTTGTACATTTTCAACGTTTTCAAAAGTAAAGAGAATAAAAGTTTCCGTCGTTAAAGATGCTCTGATCATTTTTGAACACGATAGTGGCCAAATGAAAACGTTTAAAAATAGTCGATATTTCGCGTCCTGGCCAGTTTTTGGTCCGAGTTAAAATACGGTGCAGCGGGGCGCGGGCTGATAGCTGGCGTGGGTTTCTTGAGCCTCGTGACAATCGAATAAGGCCAAGGGCCAGAGTCCCATACGCCCATGGGGGCCCATCGGTTGTTTGGGGGGGGGGGGGACAAATGATATGATGGCCCCCTGATTTGCCTTCGGAGGGGGGAAAGGCATGGCCCTGATTCCCCCCTCTACGACCGCCACTGCACTCAGCACTGAAAGTGGAAGGGGGAGGGCAAGTATAGGCATTGCTAGTCCCTAGCCTGTTTGAACCGAGGCAGGGGGGCATGGTCACCCTGGACCCCAGCTACTACGCCTTTGACGAACTATGCCGACTCCAAGCAGATCCGGTCAAGCGTTGGTCGTTTGTATACGCATTCTCTTGCACCGTGCCAGTATTATCTTCTATCTTCCCTGTTCCTACGTTTATGAAAAAGGGCCTTGCCGGGCGAGATTTACGCTGTTTCATATGTATAAATTGGTAGGGCATACATGTTTGAATAAAAAATGGTTTTGAAGCAATTTTCTACGAAGGTACATACCATTTCGATGTCTTACCCAGCTCATATCGTCATAAATTTCGACTTACCCTCAAAAGTATTCATGCGTTTTTCGAGCGGCAATTAGGCAAATTGCAAGCTCGCCACAGAGCACAAATCCTGAAAGAGATAGTTCTTATCTAAAACATATGCTCATTAGATATTCAAGAAGGTTGCTCCTAAATATTGTAGTTCTAGCTTAAATTGGATGTTATGTATGCCGATAGGTTTCCGAGGCTACACCGGCTAGCGCCCACTGTGCGGTGGTCGGAGATTCGCGCGCGCGCGCCTCTACCCGACAGCCAATGGGCGCCGCCGGCGGCCGTGACGTCAGAGCGGCCAGCGGCGGCGGCCGGCGGCCTCTCTGGAGGTGGCAGTCGTCGCCGGCAGTCGCGGGAGTGGGACGCCGCAGTCTGCGCCCAGCCCGCGGCCCGCAGCAGCAGTCGGAGATGTGGCGTGCAGGCAGCGCGCTCGGCCTGGCCGCCGTTCTGGTCGTCAGCGGCGCACAGCGGCCGCTCGCCGTGGAGTACGAGAACGCGCAGAGCCCCTGCTACGACTCGCAGGGCCGCAGTCAGGTCAGTGCCGGTGGGGTCTCGAGACAGCTCACTGCATGCACAGGTCCCCGCTCAAACTGGCAGAGCCGCTGTCGGGCCGTGCGGGACCGGAAGGCTGATGGCCTCTCCAGCGTGCGTCTTCGTGGGTTGTTCTTTCAAATTCAGACCTTTCAGCAGACGTCACTCCTAATGCGCCGAGCAGCTGGCAGCTGCCGCGGCCTCCTTGTGTTGGTCTCCGAGGTCTGTGGCGGGACAGGCGCCGAGAACTGGCAGACAGTGTTGTCCGCCTCTGCTCAACTGTCGGCCGTCGCGGTGACTGGGATGTCACCGCTCCGTCCGCCACTGCGACAGACCTGCCGGGAGACCGGCAGACCTTGCGGCAGACCGTCCGCCACTGCGGCAGACCTGCCGGCAGACCGACCGGCAGACCTTGCGGCAGACCCGCGTGGAAGATAGTCGGGCCCAATGCCCCGCGCGCCCGCCCGCCCGCCGCCGCTTCGGTTTCATGCATTGAGTCGGTGTCGCTTTTCTAATTAGACGCGTCTGGTTGTGGGCCCGGGCCCGGAGCGGTGCACCTAGGAGCTGTGGCGGCCGCGGGGAGGGGACCCGTGGCCAGCGCCGCGGGGACCCGGCCGTGGCCAGCGCCGCGGGGAGGGAGGGGACCCGTGGCCAGCGCCGCGGGGAGGGGACCCGTGGCCAGCGCCGCGGGGAGGGGACCCGTGGCCAGCGCCGCGGGGAGGGGACCCGTGGCCAGCGCCGCGGGGAGGGGACCCGTGGCCAGCGCCGCGGGGAGGGGACCCGTGGCCAGGGCCGCGGGAGGGGACCCGTGGCCAGCGCCGCGGGCCGGCCATCAGCCGCGCCGGGTGCCGGCGGCGACTCGGGCTCGGTTAGGAGCCGGCGCGGCCGTGGGTCGGACTGCGGCACGCGCGCCCCTGTGCAGTGTCCCAGCGGCGCCGGCTGGTGGGGGTAGCCGGCCGGCCGCCGGCCGGCCCTGTATACCGTGCTGGACGTCTAACGGCGACTGCCACACGTTACGTCGGCTCCGCCCCGGTCTGTTATTGGTACCGTTGTTTCGTGCTTTCGTGCAACTTTGGCTCACTTTTTTTGGTTAAGCCTCAATAATTCAGTCATCTATTTATGTACAATGGTGAGCAACAGGGCCTAGATAGAGGCGACTCTTGGCTTTTCGAAAATAACAAATTCATGTGTACTGCAACAATGCGCACATTTTTTTTTTGAAAATGCAAGTTGCCTATGGCCTATGGCAATTGGAAAATGCGATTGCATGCTAGTATGACAACTTTGGCTCAGCAAAAATAAATTATGGTTTCCGCCCTTTTTGCCCACTTTTGCCAAGCGTATGACAACATTAGCCACTAGAGATGGCCCAAATTTGCAGTTTCTTTACCCGCCCCGCAGCTACCCTCTGTCCAACCACAGCTAACTACCAGCTGATTTTGGCTGAACCTGACCCGCAAAAAAAACGCAATTTAAAAAAAAAACTATTTTTGCAAGAAAAAATCCAGCTGGGTTAATGCCAGAGCTATACAAATATTACTTGCTTCATTGCTGTTAAAAAAGACAGCCAAACAAATAGTAAGGACTTAAATGCTATGCGAAGTCCTCAGGAAGTGCACACTGGATAGTGGAATGGGACTAATGCATTAATACATACATTCATAGGCGGCGGAACGGGGAGGGCACCGGGGCACCGTGCCCTTTTGCATAATTTTTGCATTTTAACCCGGCAGGCGGTGGGCCTCCCGGCCACCTTCCGCGCGGTGGGGGGGGGGGGGCTTTTGTTGCCCCCCGTATCTCCGAAACTACTGGACGGATCCGGAAAATTCAAACGGCGTTCGATGGCCCTGTCAAATTTGATAAGGGAAATCAACTTTGATTGACTTCAGGGTCACCGATGACGTCGCAGGTCAGGTCAAAGGTAAAATGTTTCACCGTTCACGGGTCTTTTGGGAAAGCGCTATAACACCGAGTAAAACGCATTTTGTCGAAAATCAGCGATAGGGCGTCAGTTGTCTAGTACATATGTTGCTATTAGAGGTCACTACTCACTGGTCATACCAGGTCAGGTCACAGGGCAGGTCACCAAGGGTCACCACATGAACCCAACTTTACTAAGGCTGTGCGATGCATGTTTTATGGCCAATTTTTCATTTCCAACGCAATGGTGTTGGTTATAAGACAATCAGGTACGGTTTAGGTCACTTTCTGGTGGTCAGGTCAATTGGAGAGCTGGTCTTGGCTTCTATGTATGTTTCAAATGACTTGAGCCACAACTCAAACTTTGCCACATCACCATAGAATACGTCCGGTTCCAGAGCAGGAAGGTGGCTCTGCTTTACTTCACGCTGCAACAGATTTACAAGGCCCTGGATAACATCCATGCTCTGCTCCTGTTCACTTGTCTGTGGAGCATGGACATTTGACGCTGGCCTTTGCTGTATTGTATTTACTTTTGACAGCACTCCACATACACCTGCGTGGCTATTCTGTGCCGATAGTCACAATATAAGAACAGGTAAAAGGCGGAATTGGTAAAACAGGCAAACATCAGGCACGCGTACACGTTATAAAGCTTACACTCCTATGCCCCCCTCCTCCTCCCACTACATATTCCTATTACACTTAACTATCTTCACGGCACGTTTGAAAGAAGTGGGGTCCAGCTCAACGATACTCACAGGCAGTTCATTTAAAAGTGATGTTGCGCGATATAAAAACGATCGCTGCCCGGCGGCCGTTCGCATAGCAGGAGGCCTCAAAAGGCGATCCTGACGCGTACTGCGCTAGAACTGCTGGCGCGAGTCACGAAACGTAGTGAACAAAGTGGAGATGTCCACAGGCTCGCCATTGGTGATCGCCTTATGGGCTGCCGTCAAAGTCGACACCTCATACATTTGTAAGGGGGAGAAGTCTGAGGTCCTCTCGCGCGTGAGAAATGTGGTCGTATTTTCTTAAGCCAGTGATCACCCTCGTCGCAAAGTTAATAATGTTCAGAAGCCTCGCATCATTCTTTGAGGTTCCACCGCCATAAACAGAAATACAGTATCTCACGCGCGAGAGGACAAGACCGTCAACAACAGCTCGCAGAACACCCCGCGGGAGGTAATGCCTCAGGTGACGGAGACCGATCAGGAGGCCAATGCATCGACGGACCACGTCACTGACGCGCGCGTCCCAGGTAAGGTGGCGATCAAAGATCAAGCCCAAGTTTTTCACTGTCATGCTCTCCTGACCGGTCTCCCCACCGACCCGTGCGCTGACAGGGGATAGGCCACGTGTGTTCTGTTTGGTACCAAGGAGGAGGATTTCAGTTTTGGATGCGTTGAGCTTTAGACCATGGGCATGGAACCATGAAGAAAGGGTGCAGAGGGTGGTTTCCATGCGTTGGATGAGGCAAGGAAGGTTGCGTCTGGTATCGGATAGAAGGATTTGGTCAGCGTACTGGGTCACGTGAGCGTCCGGCGCGTGCAGGCTGAGGTCATAGATGGTGTAGATGAGAGGACCAAGGACAGATCCCTGGAAGACGCCCATGGTATTAGGGAGGGGATCTGAGACCACTCTGTCACCAGAGGAAGATGTGATAGAAACGGACTGAGTGTGACCGGAGAGATAGGAGGCGAACCAGGCTGGGTTGCTCCTGACTTGTCTGTGGAGCTCGGGTTCTTGTGGCAGCATCTTGGAGTGGCAGGTCCAGCATCAACTGGGACATGCGTCTTGCTGACGTTGCTTGGAATGCATCTTGGTTATGGTTTCTGGTGGTGTCATTCAGACCTCTTTCAAAATCAGCAATAGCTCTTTCCCTTGCTTGGCTGACAGCAAGCTCTGTAAGCAACTTTGTGTCTTCCTCCTCACACTGCAGTTCCAGTTTCCGCTTGTTCATTTCTTGGCTTTTCTCGATAATAGCTGCTCTTGCTGCCAGTTCTGCTTGTTTTTGTTTCTCTTTCAGCTTGGCGGAGCTCAACGTTGAGCTTTCTCCATCTGAATGTTGACTGACTCTAGACAGAGCAGCTCTTGACGTCACGAAGAGGTTTGAGGCACTATCTTGAGGTTCAACACCATCAGCAGGCATTTCTTCGGGCTTGATGTCAGCAAGATACTTCATCACTTTTGCCTTTATGGCATCATTGCCATCAAGCTGACTCAAATACCTACTCACATGGTAATCGATCTCATCATCTGGAAGCAGGGACATCAACTCATGATCAGATGATGTCAGCTCCTGACACAGCTTCAGCCAGTTCTCGAGCTCGGCTTTGACACATCCTATGCCTTCGGTTCCAGACATAATTTCAATCAGCCTCTGACTACTGGACCTTACTGCATTCAATGCTCTTTTGTATATGCACCCTTTGTTTTACACTGAGTTGATATTGAGCTCCCTTTTCTGTTGTCTTACGACTTCTCACACCATCTGTCGCATCATCTGCATTTTGACGCTCAGCCATCATGGAATGAGAGGATGACCAGGGAATTCAGGTAATGAAATTCAGCCACAGGAAAACAATGTCTGTACAAGGTGACTATAAGAAAATATTATACATCTACAACTACAAGTGACAGTTCGGAGTTGCGTAGAACAGGGGCGGATCCAGCATTTTGCCAAGGGAGGGGCTATTCCGAATCGGGGGCCCCCCATCGATGGGGGCCCTACCTACCCCCAAAAGTTTAAGCCTGGATTTCGTCCACTTTATTTTTGGGGGCCCCCTATCATGCTTTTTTTTGCAAAAAAAAAAAGAAAATGAGAAAGTCGCCCGGGGGGGGGGGGCGCTATAGTCCCTATCACCCCCCCCCCCTGGATCCGCCCCTGCTAGGAGGCCTTGTATGTGAACTAGGAAGCCCTCTGTGATAGCTAGGAGGCCCTCTGTGCAGATGCGAGCGCAGGCCCTCAGTACAGACTTGGAGACCCTTTGTGTGGATGCGAGTGGAGGCCCTCTGTGGAGATTAAGAGGTCCTGTGTTGGCGAAGAGGATATCTGTGCAGGCTTGGAGTCCCTCTGTGCA